GGCTCCCAAACCCACTCCTGACCCTCCTCTCCCCGAACGGCTATTGCTTACACGGCTCAGCAGCGCTGCTCCTCCAGCACCGAGGTTGTACCTCCTGTGGCAAGGGTGCATGCGAGCCTGTGTCACCCCCGTGCCAAGGGCGCACGCGAGCCTGTGTCACCCCCGTGCCAAGGGCGCACGCGAGCCTGTGTCACCCCCGTGCCAAGGGCGCACGCGAGCCTGTGTCACCCCCGTGCCAAGGGCGCACGCGAGCCTGTGTCACCCCCGTGCCAAGGGCGCACGCGAGCCTGTGTCACCCCCGTGCCAAGGGCGCACGCGAGCCTGTGTCACCCCCGTGCCAAGGGCGCACGCGAGCCTGTGTCACCCCCGTGCCAAGGGCGCACGCGAGCCTGTGTCACCCCCGTGCCAAGGGCGCACGCGAGCCTGTGTCACCCCCGTGCCAAGGGCGCACGCGAGCCTGTGTCACCCCCGTGCCAAGGGCGCACGCGAGCCTGTGTCACCCCCGTGCCAAGGGCGCACGCGAGCCTGTGTCACCCCCGTGCCAAGGGCGCACGCGAGCCTGTGTCACCCCCGTGCCAAGGGCGCACGCGAGCGCGTGTGCAGCATCTCCACTCAGCACACCGCCTAAGCAGCAGCTCTGCAGAAGTTTGGGGGGGGGGGCGATGCCCGTGTGTCCCGGGGCGAGGTGCGGGTGCCCCTGCTGACGATGCAGGACTGACACAGTCCCCTCATGCTTTCTGTAGCTGGGCTGTCACTCGGTCCTACCGACTGCCATGAAACGCTGACCCGGTGCTCCTCCCTGGCGTGATCCTACCCTGAGCCCGCTCAGAAATCAGCACTAGCTAGCGACGCGTGCGGGAATTCAGCCCCGAAGCCTTTACAATCTGTTTAGGTCTATGGATGGCATAGGATTGGTCTTCTCTGGGTTATTTGAGGCTGTAAAACTTCTTGAGCAGTATTTCACTATGTATATGTTCGGGGCTGTATAGGTAACGATGGCCAGAAAAGCAATGAAGGGAAACACAGGCTTTGTGCTGGAATGTTAGCGGTTGCGTATTGTGGCAGAAACGGTGCCTTGGTGAACGTACCGTGCTGGTGGTGAACTTCCATGAAATGCATCGTGTGGTGCACAACGCTGCTGGTCCGCTGGGTTGGTTTGCAGATGCTTCCGTCCACCACTGCAGGATGGTGGGAATTTGGGAACTTTATTAAGTTGGTTAATGTAACACTTTTGATCTATAACGCCAGATCTGCATTTCGGTGGGTAAATGTTTGCATCTGTGAATAATTAAACTTACAGTTTTTCTTAGGAATGAATTGACTGCGTTCTACTGTTTCCATCTGGAACTTTGCGTTTGCAAGTCCAAACGTGGAGGCTGGGCCGGAGGTTGGCGGAAAATCTGGTCTTGCAAGTTCTGTGAAAAAACATGGCTCAGATTTTGCACAGGTTAGTGAACCACGTGCACGGATAAGCCTGGTTAATTCAACGGTTTGATAAACCCCGAATCCCAGTGAGGCTGTGACAAATCCCCCTGGTGTCTTGGAGTTACGAGGAAGACGTATAAAATTATATGCAGGCAGAAGAGCTCTTTCTAAACTTGAGGAGTCTTTTGCACATTATTGTTTTGTTCCATTCGCTGCGTGAAATAACTTCTTGTCTGTGGCTCAGTCATGACAAGGTACTCGATCAGTTATCGTTTGAGGGCAATAGCTGGGGTCAGTTTGCATCCGATGATGTTTTTTCCTGCGGACAGTTTGTTTTTGGAATAGTTACGCAGGACAGAGGCACGGTCTTTGGGAAGGATGGCTGACCTGAAGAGGAAATTTCTGCAGCGTGCTTGTCAGGCAGCAGCACCGCGCCATACGCTGCCCCTCTTTCAGGTGCTGAGCACGTGTGGGTCCTGGATCAGAACCAGTCCTCTAGTTAGAAGCACAGGAGCTG